TTATAAATTATTTGGCCTAAATTTATATTCATAAAAAAATATATTTTTTAAAAAATAAATAAAATCACTTTTCATAATTGCTTTGTTATATTTTATTCAATTTCAAAAGGTAATTTAATAGTCTTTATATTAATTTAAATTTATAACACCATAATTATAACCACTTTTTCATACTTACCTATGTTCTCATCGCGATTGTGGGACTAGGATGGGATGAACAAAGCTATTTTTTTTTATTCATAGTTTATAATATTATAGTATCAGGTTTTAATCGTTTTTTAGAGGTAAATGTTGCTGATATTTTTAATAATATACCTTTGGATTATATTTTTTAAAAAAATATAAATTTTTCCTACTTATATATAATAGAAAATTTCGATAGATATACACATTTTCCTTATTCTGTTTCCTTTATATGGTAGACGCCATTTTTTTATATTATTAATTTTAAAGTAGCGTCCAAAAATTGGGAAATTTTTTTCCAAACCTTTAATAAAAATCATTCATTCTACACCGTGTATTTTTTTCTTAAGAAAGCCGATAATGGAAGGCAAAAAATCCATTCTTTGTTGTTTTAATTATATTATAAAATTTAACATAACATAAAAACTTATGTTATAAAATGGAATATAAATATTACTTTTTTTGCAATTATTCTCATACGGAATTCCCGCAATTATTATTTTGCGATTACAAAAAAAAAATATATTTCTGAACTTAAAGCTAAATAAACATTTCTAAAATATTCCTCTTTTCATCCATTTTTAATAGGCAGACGATTCTTTACTTCTTATAAATTAATTAAAAATTATAATCCTTTATAAACGGAATCGTTGTATGTTAAATTCTTAAACCTTCAATTTTCTAGAAATTTTTTAGTCTAAACTAAAAAAAAGGTTTGTCGCATTAATAATTTTGTACAAGTTGTTCTGCCCGGCTCATAATATTATTTACGATGAAAAACGACATAAATTTGTCTTAATTTCTAAGCTCAGTATTTTAAAAAAAACTTAAGCTCAAACAGCGAAAAATATTCTTCACAAGTTATCCCAGAACTGGGCCAGACCACGCCCTCTCTGAACTATTTTTTTTAAATCACAATTTTCAGTGTGCTAATTAGATATCTTAGAAAGGAAAAATTGATTTTTTTAGAGATTCGAAATCTTAATGGAATTTAAAAGAATTTGCTTATATGATCCAGTCGGCTTTTAAAATCAAAATAAATTTTGTCATCCGCGGATTCAGACCTTTTCATGCACTGCGTTAGTTTAGAAGTGTTATTTAGTGTATTCTCGTAATCCCGTCCAGTCTGCGATTATCGGCGGAAAGCCGTCTGTTAAGTGGGACAGGGAAAAAATTTAAATAACAACCATCAAGTCATTTAACCTACAATAATTTTTTTCATTAATTTAAAAAAAAAATATTGGCTAATCAAATAAATCGGAACACATTTTCTAAAAGTTTGATAAAAAATTTTCTTTTTTTTTGGTCTCGGAGTTAGTTTTTATTGATCAGTCAAAATAATGTAGGTATTATTTTGCAAAGCCTTGTGTCAATAATATTAGGCATGAATGTTTGCTTAAATTATTAATCACCTGATTTCTCAGCTAGTTAATTGGCTAGTAGGATTAAAAAGAAATATTTTACATTCTAGTCTGTTAAAAAATGTCCCCAACCCATGTTTTTTAATATTAGATAGACCCGATTTTAGAAATACCGGTTTTCGGCCGATATCGTTAAACTGGCAGATTCGATCCGATATTTAAAAATTATTTATTTATGATGGATATATTATTTTTTTTTAAAAATGGTATGATTATTTGTTTTTTTTAAGATTCAAATATCTTAATAAGCTTTATGACGCATATTTATTTTTATTGATATTTTTTTTTGATTTGTTATATTCTCATATACACATTTTATCCATAATTTTATTATTAAAAATTTATCGGTAAAATTGAATCAGTCTAAAAAACCGTATATTTGTAATTTTGCTGCAGATCTGGAATTTTGGTAAAGACCTACTTGAAAGGGTGTTAAAATAATTGACTACCACTACAACGTTCAATTTTAAAATTGATATTATTTATAAATTAATTATTATAACTTAGGCAGAATTAAATGGTTTTCTTGCCAATTTTTGAAAAATTGTCCTAAGAATATCTATTATTATTTTTAACATATTTCTTTTATTTCAACACCAACTTTGTCCTTGAAAATTTTTTCATTGTAATTAAACTACAATGTATATCAGATAGAAATTATATTATTTCCTTGTCTGGCAAACGACTCAATATTGTACGATTTCTAATTTTAATTTTGACTAATTTAATTTATAATCAATTATATAATCTTTATGAGATGCCCGAATTAGACAATGGAAATTTTTTAGCGTATTTTTCTGCCCGGATTAAAATATATTTGTACGATTTGTCCGACTCGGCTAATAATTTTTTTATATGAAAGAAAACGAAATAAATTTGTCTAATCAACTTTAAAAACATTTTCAAAACTTCGACCCGACCCGGTAAAATATTTTGCCCAATTTATCGGGCCTTGAGACGGCACCGACCTCTAATCCCAATTATACAATTTAAAGATAGTTTTTTAAAAATAATATTTAGAACATTTGTTAACATGATTTCATATGCATGGTTCTTTATTTTCATTGCTAACAACTTAAAAACAAGATACTCAATAGAAATAGGTAATTTTTGGATCAATTGACTGAAAGTTTGACTATCTCAAAATAATTTTAAACATTAATGTCTGAATGGAATCAAAAAAATATATTGTGTTGGGTTTGATCATTTGACATGATTTCATATTATTGATTAAATATTGGTATATATATGGTAATGGCATATTTTTTTTATTTGCAGAATACATTTTATATTAAAAATTACCATTAAATGATCAATGGTGCAGAAACTATCATAATTTTTTCTGTTTTTTTTAAAAATATAATTACGGAACACCATGTCGGTAAATAGTCTCATACTAAAATGACACTTAAAATTATAATAAAAGGGATCTACATATAAGCCAATGCCTGTTGGGCTAGTGGGGTTGATAAATTAGATATAGGTGAAGACCTGATTTGGGTAAGTTTTTTCTCAATTTTTCAAATTCGTTTTAAGGTATATTTATCACATCTGCTTAATTTTTATAAAGCAAAAGCGCATATAAGGAATAGGCTTAGCTTCAAAATAAAAAAAAAATTGCATATAGGGATATTTTTAGCATGTGAATAATTACCGACATCTCCCGGTCCTTAAAAATAGACTTAAAAGAAAAGGAATTTTAAAAAAATCTCCTTTTTATTCACTAGAAAAACATGAACATTTAATGGGCTAAAATAAGATGTGAAACGATTTATTCCGAGCTCTATAAATATTTTTAAAGCCATTTAATCCTTATTTCAAGCAGCTATTATAAGACATTTTTATTTATAAACTTCCAATATAATTTTTAAAATTTTTGAAAAATTCCACAAATTTGGATTTAAAAATTTCATTTTTGAATCTCCGATAAATTAAAGCAATGATGACAAATGTTTTACTAATATTAATACCAATATCATAACCATACATGGTCTTGTATAGGTGATGGCTGCAAATGGTACCTCTGCAAATCTCGGTGATATGATCCACTAAAAATTGTAACAAGATTTTGCAGAATGAGCAAATAACATTTATAGTTTTTATGCTAAATGGCTAAAATATCTCTTGGAGATCGTGAGACACTATCACTACTTCTCTTGCCAATGTATTAGCAACTATCATAAAAATACTTGAACGTGACTATCTTATAAATGATGTACTTCTTCCTGCCCTTTATTTTAGATACCAAATTTTAATATCAGAAGATGAACTTTTGTCAAAACGACATTTAATAAATTTATGGACGAGAATGCAAAATCGAGAATATTAATATTACAGTTGATTAGTGTTTGATAGTAAAAATTCTGAGATTACTGATCAACGAAATGATGAAGAAAAGATGGAACTTAATTAACATGTTTCTTAGGCTAGATAAATTACAATATAATAATCTATGTTTGCCCTCTATTTGATATATCAGGGTATAAATCTAAACCAGGATATATACTTAAATATTGGAAGGAATAAAGAAAACCCAGCCTAAAATCGTTAAATTTTCTCAAGTACACATAAGTTAGCACGGAAAGCTTTTTCTTCATTAAATTTATCTTATCACCATATAGATCTATTGAAGATTTTTTCTTAAAAAAAATTTTGAGCATGCTCAGAAGATTTTTTGCTCAAATTTTTTTTATGTTTTTTGTAAAAAATCTTCTATGATTTTCTCTTTAATGTTTATTTAGATTTTTAAAAAAATTCCCAGATGTTTTTTATGAAACAAAATGATAGATTTTTTTTACAAAATCATAGATTATTTTACAAAATCATTTTTTTAATTTGCTCAAAAATATTCCTTAAGCATTCTCAAATTTTTTTATCTTTGAATTGTGAGCAAAAGTTAAACCCTGGTAATTAAAACTAATTAAACTTAAATTTTTTAAACCGAGTTCCTAACCTGTTTTTACCAAAACTGAACCGAACTCTTTTCAAAATCACAACATAATCCCGAACCCGGCAAATTTTAAAAAAATGTTTCAATCTGCTCATAAGATTTTATCATTTCTAGGTAAATGTTCATCAAAAATTGTGTTAGTGAATTACTATTATTTAGTGTTGTTAAAAGGCTTATTTTGAGCCGATTTTTTAAAACGTCTAACTCAATGTTTTAGCCAGAAAAATTATGCCTAAGCCTCGAGATTTCGTTAATATATGTCTAGACCTTTGTTCCTTCTATGAGCAAAATCTTCAGGTTTGCGTAATATTTTTCTATTTGGAATATTGAGTAGCCGTTTTTAAAAATCGGCTTAAAACGAGCCGTTTAACAACACTACTATTATTATATGAAATATAATTAAAAACATTAATATTATAAAAATTAATCAATTTTATTACATACAGGGTATTTACCATCATGGTATTACACATACATAGAATCTCATAATTGCTTTAAACAAGGGGAAAACAAGGAAGAAAGGTATTTATTTAAATATTCTGCAAATTATAATATATTATATTCTTAATTTAAAAAAAAAATTATATGCAGGAAGAAAAGTCAAATTCCGATCTTCTATAATAAGACTGTAAAGAAAAAAAATTGATGTTTTACCTTTCAAAAAGTTATTTTCGCATTATTATCATCGCCACGATTGCCAGTTATTCCATAGTGGGGGTCTTATTTTTTTATGCATTCGGTCAAAGATTTTATGAAACTCACCCTACCCAAACAACTGGTACACGACGCCTATTACACCCTTCACATGTTGATTTGAAAATCGACATTTCCAATTGGTTAAATAAAAAAACGTCGGAAATCCACCGACGTAGACCTTTTAAAAGTGATACCAACAAAATCAACAGATCAGAATATTCTGATGTTAATTTTAATGAACCTCACATCAGTAGTTTTCAGTATATAGATTCAGATACTTATTTTTTTTCAGCTTTCTGGGATGATAGATATTCCAAGAAAACTTCAGGGAAGAATCATTATATCAGACTTTTTATATTAAAACGGTGGTCACGGCAAAATAGTTTTAACAATCGCCCGCGCGATTTTGCGCGCCGTTTTTATGGGAGCGACGATAAGGATTTTAACATCGATTCATACACGTGCACATTTAACCAAAATCAATACCGTAATAAAACCAATACTTTCAACTCCTCTGGAGTGCTTTACGAAACTTGTGAAAATCACGACATGCAATGGGGAACCTTTTATGTGTCATGTCAGACGCCGGCCAGTTATACCATGCATCTCTTGAATACCTTTGCGACTAAACCATTTTCCTCAATAATCATTACATTTTCGCATAACAATCACTCACGTATGGTTCCTGTTAAACTTCCAGAGGAATGGCTTAATTTTAATAAGTCCCTTCGATCAAGAGTAACAAATGCAGGGATATGTGTGCCTCCTTTATATGGAAACTTTTCATCTGATGCCATCATTACTTTCGTGGAACTATCCAAGATCATTGGTGCCCACAAACTCTTCTTCTACTTAACTACAGATGATGATGCAGCTTATCCCTACTTAAAAATCTTGAGACATTATGAACTTTTAGGACAAGTTACCATAACCCCATGGTTCTTACCATTAGATCATGCATCCAAACAAGTGTGGAATTATGGTCAAAGTTTAAGCATTGCTGATTGCCTATACCGGAACATGTACAAATATGACCTGCTTGCTTTCAATGATGTGGACGAGTTTATTGTGCCCCGAAAACACAAGAATTGGCAGACCATGATAAATGATGCCTCCAGTAATTGGCCTGCTAATGTTTCTGGCTTGAGAGTTAAAGGAGCATTTTTTGAAGCTAATACCAAAAGACAACCTATTTCTTTCAACGGACATTCTGTATTTGATATAACCAAACGAACTACCATGCTTAGCAGTGTTAGAACTAAATGTTTAGTCAAACCCAAATTAATATTTGAACAAGGTATACATCACATCAGTAAACAGACCTATGAGGAAATTCCTCCTGATAATGCAGATCCTGATTTGTTGATATTGCATCATTATCGACCATGCAACAGGGGTTATGATATGAATTGTGAGGATTATATTTTTGATAATAATCTGAAGCGTTATGAAAAAGAATTTTATAAAAGAAAAATTATAATATAATACTAAGTCTCAAACGAATCTCACATATAAACTCTCAAGAGCATTTATTTATTCATTCCTAGTCATAATTACTAGAAACAACATTTAAGCATTGTGATTGTATAAAACCAAAGGTATCTTCTTTTTATTTATATTATTAGACATGAATTGTAATTTATAATTATATAATTGTAATATAGAATAAATATGTATGCAACATGTTTTTATCTAATTTGGATAGGTAAGGTTTTCACATCTGTAAAATATCTATGTCCTAATGCCATTTTTGCAGAAATACGTTTATTTGGATGGTAAACCAGCATCTTCTGTTGTTTTTTTATAAAAATAAATAATACTTATTTTAATTTACAGTTAATAAATCAACACCATCTAGATCTAAATCTGGTACAATTGAATTGATATCTTTTGTTGTCCATTTAGGAAATGTCGATTTAAAATCAGGTAGGTTGTTAATACCAGGCCACATATTATTATCAGGTGTTCCTAGGGTTCTAAATATTCTAAATAATTGATCAATTTCTGAATCACCAGGGAATAATGGTTTATGGTTTAACTAATAAAATACATTTAAATATTAAGATGTGTACATATATATAAATGTACCATCTCTGCAAAAATGCATCCCAAACTCCAAATATCAACTGAAGTTGAATATTTACTAGTGCCTAATAATATCTCAGGAGCACGATACCATAATGTGATTATCTATGGAAGGTTTTATTTAATTTTATGATAAAATTACTTCATGTGTGTATTTTTGTAGAGGGAACCCAAATGACCGGGCCAAACCAAAATCAGCTAATTTAATTGAACCAAAGGAATTTATTAATAAATTTTGTGGTTTTAAATCCCTGTGTAATATTCGATGTGCATGACAAAATGCAATGGCTTTTAATAATTGCCATATAAAACTCTAATCTTACATTAATTTTTTATTAAAAAATTTAAATACTTTAGTTAATGATATGGATAGCATATTTGAAGATTCTTCTAAAAACTTTTTTAAATCAATTTCCAAATATTCAAATACAAGGTAGAGTTTGGTTTCAGTTATAATAACATCATATAATCTATGATAATAATTATTATAAATAAATAATGAGATATCACACCTCACAATATTTGGATGATCAAGTTCTTTAAGTATAGATATTTCTCTAATTGCAGTGCTAGGAACGCCTTCACTCTCACTTATACAAATATATCAATTTCAAAATTTATTTTATACCTATCGATTCGTATCTTTTTTAATGCCACATATTCTCCAGTTTTTTTATTTTTAGCTTTGTATACAACACCATAAGTGCCTTCGCCTATTTTATCAAAATTTTCATAATTTTCCATTCAAATGTGAATAATTTGGCGGTGAAGCAGACGAATTTAAAATCAGGTGATTATAAAAAATTAATCAGTATTAATTTGAAATTAGGTAATAACAGAAAATTAATCATTATTTTGTCTTGGTAAAATTTTTAAACGATCTACAAAGAACACCAAAATAATAAATCAAAATTTAATTATATAATTATTAAGTTTTTACTAAAAATGAACTCACCATCCCACTTATCTTAATAACTAAAATTTAAATCAGAATTTGGTCAGCTGATTTATAGGAATATTTATGTATTTTTGCATTATTATGTTGAATTATATTTTGAGGACTTATAAGTAATTCTAAATAGTATATTTAGGAACTTAAGGTAAATTGTAATCTCGTAAGTTAGTTGAACTTATATTTTGCGATATGGATATAAAAATAATAAAACATATATTATTGAGTAAATTTTCAAAGTATCAAATTAATATTCTAATTTTAATGTTATGTAAATATTTAAAAAATGTTTGATATGATAACCGGTTTTGTGAAAGTAAAAAGTGCAATATACGGAATTAGAGCGCATGCGCCCTCTCAAGCGTTGTAGTTACAACAGAGCTACGCTAGGTTTTCCTCATTTCCATAATTGGAAGATTTAAGTTAAGTATAAAGTAAAATATGAGGAGCCCTTCACACGTTTGTGGGCAAGCCGCACGTACTTGTAGGCACAACATTTCGAAAAATTTTGCTTAAACCTCTATAGGCTTTAATTTAAAAAGAGTGGGACAAAGAAAAAGCCTATACCCGAGAACTACAGTATAATTTAATTACTTTAAAGGTGGGTGATGGCTGATTTTAAGCTTAATTTCTTTAGTGTAAGTTATAATTACTATCAATATTGAGATATAATGTACATAGAATCTGTAAATAAATATGATTAAAATAAAATAATATTTACCGTTCTAATCTTGATCAAGCAAAATAATTCATATATTTTGATCAAAATTAATAGTCAAATTGTCCCAGGAACAAAACAATAATTTTTAGTAACAATATAGTTAGAAATTTAATAAAATAAAAAAGATGAATAGCCAGATTTAACTATTTAGCCAAAAACATGAAATATAATTAAAGTGATAAAATTATTAATATTAAGTCATGATTTGGAATTAAGAGCAGAAATACCTATAGTTATTAGACCTGAGTTCACCTGAACTGGATGTTAAATTTTTGAAATACCTTGTGAATACGTTGTTAATTGCTAACCACTTTGTAAATTTAATGTCAAAATACACCATTGTATAAAATTTAATTAAGAAAATATAAATTTCATATTCACAAGTAGATATTATTCTGTTTGATAGTCAAAATAAAACAACTTTCTAGAAAAAAAAATAAATAACTAAAACAAGGTTAATTTTTTCAGGGACGTCGCTAGCCTTTACAATCTCAGGGGGCTCAACTAACAAAATATTATGGGGGGGGGCTTCGCCCCCTATATCCCCCCCCCCCCAATATGCGTGCCTTCAGCCGGATTTTTAATTAATATATTAAAGTTTCTAGGAATAAATCAATGTTACGAGTTTAATTTAAGTAAACGAATTTAATTTTTTATTTCATTTATTTCTAGATTGAAGTTTCTGAGAATATAAGTATAATGAGTTAAATTTTATTTAATTTATTTTTAAAATTTTACATCTATTGTAAAACTAAAAATATCATGATTATATAGCATGTTACAAACAAAAAATCAATTTACATATTAATATAATAATTTATATAAAAAAATCAATTTTCAAAATTTATAAAAAAAATCAATTTATATAAACATAAAAAAACAGTTTAAAGGTTAGTATTAATAGGTCATATCAACATTCCACCCTTTAAAAAATTATCTCCACTCAGGTTTTTCTAGCATGTGAATCTTATCGTGCAGTCAACCTTTCTTGATAGTTATATTATCATCATTTGTATATTTCATTAACTTTTGCTATTGAAAGTTTATTTTTAAGAAAAATATTTTATTATATATATATATAATTTTAGTCTTTATTTCATTATAAAATTATCGAATTTTTTGGGCAAAATTATATTCCTGCTTGGTCTTTGACTAACAAGACTCTGTTCTTGTATTCCTAAATTTTTATCATCATTTCTTCTATACAGTAAAAGGTATTGCTTTTTTAGTATTTGTTTTCAAATGTGTAATTTCATCAAGAGGTGTGCTACTCGTAGACTTTTTTTTAATATGGTCTAAATGTCTTCTAATAATTTTGTCTCCCGTATCCACTTCAAATATTAAATTCCCATTTTTACGTTTTACCCTGCCTTTGTCCCAACGTCTACATGACAGGATTTTCACTGGATGCAAACCCCCTTCAAAAACCTTTGCCTACCCCTCTAAAAAATTCCCGCCACCTTCGGCGGCGATGTTTTTTTATTATTATTTTCACCTATTTATTTATTGATACTCTTTTCAAATAATTTATAAAGGATAACTTAAATTAATATATCTCTACTACCAACTATCGATATTTTGTGAATATAAAGAATTTATTTTTTAGATAATAAATTTAATTAAAACCTCCATTATTAATAATGAATTAATTATTATGGCATTATTGCTGAAATATCTAAACCTTTTAAATTATATTTAAAGGATAGTTTATTTGGAAAACAATGTTTATGATTGTTTGCAATATATAGATTTGGTCGATGAATTGTATTATATTAATACTATAATAAAATTATTAATTTTTACAGCAATAAATTTTGTCTTATTTCATCTCAAAATTTAATAGATAACCCCCCCCCCCCCCCAAAAAAAAAATTTATCCTACCCCCATTAGCAGCTTACCCCCTACCCCCTCAAAAAAATAGGATACAAACTGTTCCCATCCCTCCCGCTCATGTAGACGCTGCTTTGCCCCATATATTATCCTTGAAGGTTTTATACCAAACTTTGTCACCATTCATGATATTTCCATTTGACGATAAATTGCGATTAAATTCATTCACTTTATCTTCTTGCGGTTTGATTAAATCCCATCTGCATCACTTCGCTTGGTATCTTGTTGGTTGTCGCGTTTGGTGTGTTGCGATAATTGAATAAAAACTTTTCTATAGCTATATCTAGGTCTATTTTATTATTACTTTCCATATTCTTTTTCATACATATTTTCATTGATCTTATCTTTCGCTCACACTGACCATTGGACTGTTGGTGGTGAGGCGTGGTGAAAATGTGATCAATTCCATGATCATTACAAATTTTTTGAACACGTTACTTGTAAAATTTGTACCATTATCACTGACTATCATATTGGGCATACCAAACAAGCAGTTTATTTTTAATAATTCTTTAATAGTAGACTCAGTAGTTATATCTCTCATTCTTCTAATGATAGGAAACTTGCTAAGTGCGTCAACACATACCAAGAAAGCTACCTTCAAACTGTGCAAAGTCGATGTGCACGCGTATGAATACTTTTACAGCTGTTTCCCATGGATTTTGTACATTATGAGGATTGCCCGCATATTTATTACACGTATCACAGTTTTTCACCTCCTGATCTATTTCAGCATTAAGACCAGACCACTACAAATAATCTCTTGCCAACAATTTCGTTTTCCCAGCACCAAGATGCCCTTTGTGTAATTCCTGTAATATCTCCTTTCTCTTTAAAAAGACAATCTTTAATTAACTCAGTTCCATTTCCATATTTTATATTTTATTCTTTATTTGTTCATGAATCTTTATATTGTTAATTACCTCCATTAATTCGATATCAATACTAGTTTCTTGAACTATTCTTTAAAATTTATTGGTAATTCACAAAATTTGTCATCAATTTTTTCATCATCTATCTCTAGCTCCCCGGAGGCGAGGGTTCGTATCCCACCGCTGCCACCATAAAGTTTTCTAGGAATAAATCAATGTTACGAGTTTAATTTAAGTAAACGAATTTAATTTTTTATTATATTTCATTTATTTTAAATTTGAAGTTTCTGAGAATCTATAATATATATAAAAGCCTTGTCACAAAAATCATGTCAAACTTTTCATGTCCCACTTCTCATATCACACTTTATAATAAAAAATTCAAAAAATCGTTAATTTTGAAAAATGCCTAAGGCCCAATCGGGCAAGATTTCGCTTACAAATCTAGATGGATTATTGGACTTGGGTTCGAACCCCGGCAAATGTTTTTTTTTATTAATCTGGTAAAATATTTTTTTTCTTAGTCTGACAAAATTAATCGAATAGATACAGGGGAGTCGCTAGCCTTTACAATCTCAGGGGGCTTAACTGGGTTTTATATTAATATATTATACTTTTTTAAAAATAGTTAACTCTGAACAATTATTCTGATTTTCATGTCATTTATTATATAATGCATACAAAATAAACTGACATATAAAAAACCACATAATGCAATAATATAATTCTTAGCAACTTACATTTACAAAAGGTTATCAAACTAGTATAACTCTCTGTTACCATTTTAGACAATGTTTTATACAATAAACTAACAAGTAAAAATTTTATAGGCCTCTACCAAATCAACAATTTTTGAAGAAAAGAATATAAACGACCAATCCAAATCATAAAACTATATGGTGGTTAGAGCTTCCTTTTAGATGACATGATGGAAGCTAGATAAGTAATTGAGAAAATTATCGTGAGATATTAAATTTCGAAAAGATTATCTTCCATTTTAAATGATATATAAACGACTACACAGTTGACCATTATTGTTTATCTAAAATATGCAATCATATTCTCTCAGCCGTTGTTGTAATAATCTTAAATTACATAGCAACACAAATAATATACACTGGTTAATTTGCAGTAATAGCCATGACACTCACGATGTAAACTTATATCAGAATTTATTTTGTTGGATAAATTGATAAAATAAAAACACTAAAAATTTTGAAAGAAATAATTATGCAAATATATTGCAGCCTGGAGTTATTTACACACAGCAATGCCATATTAGAAATGAAACATTTTCTAACTAAAAAATAAGGACCA